TCACAGGAGAAGATTGGACACACTTGAAATTTGTGGTATAAGGGAAAGACTAGTTGGAAGGTGAACAGGAATATTTGAAAATGTTTCCTTGTAATCAGTTGTCTCTTCCCCCATCTTCTTCACCAGGCTGAGTTGTCAGGGTGGGGACGTGTGTCTCATGCACACAGAATCCTCCGCCAGGCATCTTGCTTATAACATACACGCTTAATGAATTTGGAGAAAAAATGGTTTAAAGCATTTCTCAGGCATGATTAAATAAAATGGCAGTCTGAAGCATATGAATATTGAAAGCAGTTCAGATAATACCAGCAAGGGGGTGATGTTAATACCTGAATGCCAGATACTCAATCAAAATTAACCATCAACTTTCACCATGAGCCATTATCAGTGTTTCTCTGGTTACAGATAACTTTCTTAATACCCCAGCTCCATTAGAGAAGAGAAATTATGCAACTACTTTATAAACTGATTTATCAAGCGTCCTGCTTTTCCCTGCATAATGACTAAGTGCCTCACAAATACTTTCTCTGCCGCTTACTTGTAGAGTGATAGAAATGTCACCATGGTTGTGATTTGCATGTGGATGAAAAGTTAACATAATGTAGAACTGTGAAATTAAACTGGTCGACTATGAGCAGCAGTCCTGCTAAGATCCATTCATCTATCCTCATTATTTCACCTTGTGGCTTATTGTGTTTGCTGCTTTCTTTCATTACTCACAAAATTGTCAAATAAGTCCCAGAGGATGCACTGGCACACGGCTTCTTCTGGAAAACAGTGTTTGCAAAGCCTACATAATGGGACCAACGAAGCCAACATGTGAAAAAGCCCAATGTTCTCTTGCCTTGTTAACTGACCTGTGGTTTCAGAAGGAAGAGGGTGAATATGGATAGGAAACAGAATGAGAAAGCAAATTATCAGGGGACTGACTTGTAGTTTTTTTACTTTAAATGATGCCTGTAAGAGTCAAGAATACATGAGACTTTATGACATCGTCCACAGTGGGAACTATCTTGGGGAAAAAGAAATGACACAAACTGATTATTCTATTCAGAGAGTATGGGGAGCAGCGGGGCAAAGGCTTTTTCTAATGCGAAGTGTAGGAAAAAATAAACTACTGTGGGTAAGTTGCAGGAGATGAATTACTTCTTCAAGCTTTGTTTGCTCATGAGGTTATATCTGTGGTGCAACTGAAAGCGCTTGTCATTATTTTTCTTCTGGTAGGAAGATATGCCAGGAACTGGCTCACCAGAGAACAAAGCTAGCTGCCTTACCAACTGAAATGTAATCTTGTGAAGAGGTAGGGGGAATGCTCCACACATCACTTGGGAGTCTCTGGGTGGCCTCTGCAAAGCACTGTTCTCTCCACAGCCCTGAAGATGGGGTGCCCTCATCTCTACTTTTATTCAATCAAAGGAGCAAAATAAAAATAACTGAATTTAGCCTTAGTAATATAAGTCATTCAAACGACAGACAAGGGAATGAAGGGCATTTTAATCAGAGGTACAGGGAACAAAATATAACTTGGGGATGGAAACAAGTATTTTATAATCTGGCAAATTCTGGTGTGCCAAGTGACACTAAACAGCTGAGTCATGAAAGGAAATAGTACAGTCATGCCAGGTGACTGAGCAGAACTCCTGTCCAACCTCTGTACATACATTTTATAATTATGCCTCATTTAATCTCTCCCTCCATTCAAAGTTCCCTTCAGAACTGGTCAGCAGGGAAATCAATTTCTAGAACGAGACTTTTATTAACCACAGAGTGGATTCTTTTATGTATGGGATGGTTAATATACTGCCCTGCTTGAAGCCTAGTAGATTCTTCCTAATTCTCTTAATGATCAGATTTTAAAATGTTTCCTTCTAATAAATCTTTATATTCATAAAGTATTTCAAATCTTGTTTGACTCGACAATGAACAAAATGTCAGCAGCAAGTCCTAGGGAATGAGTATAAAGAAAAAGCCATCATTTACCACCAAAAAGAAAATATTTCTTAAGTTTAAACCAGAGCAAACAAACAAGAAGCACATGACAACGTATGATCATCATAAAATTTTATTGAGAACCAGTACGTTAAATCCTTTATAGAACACAGAAATACATACAATTCCAGCCCTTTCCAATAAATGGCAATGTAACATTGGCATAGGATTCCTGTATATCCCAAACGCTTTGTTTTGTACCTGTAGGAGAGAAACAGTTCTTCTAGAGCTTAACAACACAGAAGTGGGATGCTCTGACCTATTTAGGGTGGGTAGGTAGCACTGGAGACAGAATTCGGCATGAATAAAGAAGGACTAAAAGTGAGTTCAAGTGGCTGAAGGAGTAGATGAATAAATGTTCGCTCTTCTCATTTTGTATTTCAAACTCAGTCAAGAGAAGGCAAGGCATTATAAAATCAGACACAAATTAACTCGAGGACATATGAGCAAAGCATATCTCTCAATTAAGTTATGCAGGGACGCTATAATAAAAGAGAGAAAATGGCCACTTTTACCTAAAACTCTACCTACCGTGAAGGCTTCTGATGCCAAATAATTGGAACTGACATCAAAGATGAAAAGGGAGTCAAATGACTGTAAGGATTAAAGACTGACTTCTTGATGGGACCACAGATCAATAGGATTGATGTAAATAATTGATGCGACATTCACAGAAACACACGAGAGGATAAATGAATACTGCCTGACACAGTTTTAAGGTTTTACTACCTAGTTTTTACATAGAGATAAAAGATACTACTGAGTTTTCTGGAAAGCAATTTTGAGAAGTTTTTCATTTTGTTTTGCTTTTTTAACAAAGAGAAAAATATCTGAGGGAAAAATGATATAACAGAAACAGAACTGAAATGATGCCTCTTCCTTTCAAAACTAAGAAAACTAGTATAAAATTTCAGTTTCTACCATGGTGTTAGGTTATTAGTCTGAGTTTTATACCCTTTGCCTAAGTTTAAAATCCTATCAAACTTTCTGAGCTTGTAAACATAAATAAACAATGGCACAAGCATAAAATCTTGCCTGTTTAATAACTGATAACTTAATCATGTCAGTAGTGATAAATTTGCTAATGGATGGCAGTAGCTAAACTGCAATCCAAATACAAATAAGAATCTTATTCAAAATGTTCTGCTCCCTGCCTTGATGTTTTCCTGGAGTTAAACTAATTAAGATGTTTGATGAAGCACTGTGATCAGTGTCCTCTGGTTAGTAGAAAGTGTTTTTTGTTCTTTTCCCCTTGGTTAGTAAATATAGTAGCTAAAAGTGCAGGTAGAGTATAGTAAGACATTTAACTAAACCATACAGGCTCTATTCTTTCAAGTTGGACACCCATCCAAAGGCAAATTAGCTTTACAGTGAATGCTGACACCTTTGATGTGAAATGCTCACACTCAGGAGAAAGGCAAAGCTGGCACACAGCTTACCAGCAGCACTTCAAAATCTGAGAAGCACAAGGCTGTCCTGACTAACACAAGTCACAGAATAAGCTAATCCTGGGAACTGAGCCAGTGGGCTGTGTCTTAGATCCCACTGCCATTAGCCTTTAAAGGGTCAGGCAGTTTCCAATAGTATTAGCTATTTTGGTGCTACCTGGAAAATAACAGGGGATTTCTACCCACAGGAACCAACATACACTCAGTGGAATTTGGTTCAAAGTTCCAGTTTAAAATAGCATATTTCTGTGACCAAGAGAGCCATGAAATAGGCACATTTAAAATTCTTAGACCCTGTTTTTTAAAGCGGCGAAATGTTTCAAAATCAGTCAATATACATAGAAAAGATGAAACAAGCCTGGGAAAATCAGCAATGGAAGGAGGAGGAATGGGAGCTGGGAAGTCATAACATTGGTACAGAATTTAAAGCACCAGGAATTCTTCACCTACCATATAAATAACCAATCCTGAGGGCTAAGAAATTGATGAGTGTTAAAGCCTAAGAGTATGCAAAGAGACAAAAGCCATTTGTTCTAAGAATGATCACTGGGTAATACTGTCTCAATAAACAGCATTTCTATCAAAAGCTTAGCGATTCTGCCATATAGCATCCCTACCCCTCTTTAAACAAGTAGAATGCTCTACTATTTAGTGAAAAGACCAACATCTAGATAGATAGGAAGGAAAATATCTTATGGCTTGTACCAAGCAGGCAACACTTTATAAAGCATAGTCTTTGCAAGATAAGTAAAACACAGTTAAAGTTTAGAAGGTCAGTCAGAAAGGGTGGACTCAAATCCTGGGTCATAATATATTCACACATAGAAATCTCATTTCCTGATCTTACTAATTCCAAAGGAGAAACACATTTATATTAATTCTAAAACATATTAGCTTATCTGGAAAAAACAAACTTTTTGTTAGCTTATCTTGAAATAACCATCAAATCAGAATTTTCCTGTAACAGCCATCCTATTTTAGAAGTTTCTGATAAAGGCATTTGATTATATGCTCTCCTAAAAGGGGCAAATTTGAAAGTATGTTTATCTCTAGTTTAGATAAAGATTGTGAATTTGAAAAATGGTGTTTAGTTGACAACTTTTTCAAATTTTGTCCCCTTTCATAATCAACCACTTAGAGAAAAGCAAAGTCATAAAACTGTTATTAAAATACTAAAGAGAAGAGGTGGAGGGCAATATCAAATAAGAAGCATGTCTTTATCTACATTTAGTTTCTTTTAAATATTTTTAGAACAGTAACAGATGATTATATTCATAAGCTTAAGTAAGAATACAACTGCCCCTAAGTTCTGAAATATATACATATATGCCCTCAAAATACTATACATATCACCTACCCTCCCTTTAGGAGAAACTGAAGTTACTTAAGATATCCTTGGATGTTTTAAAATAAAAGTCAATAACAAAAAGGAACTGAACTAAAGACATATTCCGAAAAAAAACAGTCAACTAAATTACATACAGAGCTTGACTCTATTGTTGCTTTAGCCAAGGTTTGATAACAGAGGTTCATGCAGTGAGCTGCAGAGGGGGCACTTTCCTTTTACAGTTCAAATGCAGGGAACCTGGCTTTTGTGGGCACCAGGAGGTCAGCCAAGAAATATATTGTTCCAGCCATCCCTGAAGGAAAAGAAAGTCAAAAGTTATTATACCAAAAGATGATATTTTTTATAGAGTGGCTTCATTTTGCAGCATAAACAACATGATGATATAATTTACATGATTTAAATGAAGTAGGTGTCTGTTTTTACATGTTGCAGCTCATTAGAGGGGATCACTAGTGAGGCGGCCAGCCTCTCTGTGCAGGTAGGAGACAGGAGGGAGGAGGGCGAGTGGGGCCAGGCTGGTTTAAGGCACAGCCCTACCATCGACCACACGTGAGCTCCTTCATCACGGCCCCACTTACCTGTCTGAGCCTCAGAGATCTCACCTATGACATGAGGATAATAATATGTATTTCTGATGAGATGATTTATGATGACATCTACAAAATGCCTAGCATGTGCCTGGCTCCATAAACAGCAGTCACCATAATTACTACTATTGGATCCACGGTGGTCTGGGTACTAATGGATTTTTAATACTGAGTTATCATATCAGGAAATAAAGAAGTAGTTTAAGAAACAACTATAAAATTAATTTGTTGATAAAATGCAACATATTACTAAGCAGAGAAGTGGATGCTGATATTATAAGGCAAATAAGTAATATGTGGAAAATACCTTCAAAGAGGGAGAAGGGGGTGTCTGGTGTTCGGCATCCGTGTTCTCCATAATCTAAGCACCATTCAGCAAACTGAAAATGAGACCAAGTTAAATTATTGAAATGATTTCTTCTAAAGACTCCTAAAAGTTGACAGAGGTTGTCTCTAAGGTTTACTCTGAAAAGTCAAAAACTATTCTCAAGGCAGAGAAATGGATGGTCTAAGAAGAAACCACAAAGCATGGGAGGAATTCAATGAGCTTCTCAGTCACGTCTCCAGGGCTAAAAAAGAAGAAAGGAACAAAACCACCTTACAGCTCCCAGCAACACAACATCCCCCGCCAATGCTGTTAAGTAGAATTATAAACACCTAATTCAGTTGAGGCTTTTCTTAAACTGTGTTTGTTCTATAGACTTATGGTTTAAAAAAATAAATGAATTAAATCAGATTAGCCAGAGCCACTTCTATGACTCCTGGGCAAAGGCGTGCTGTCTGGCGGCCCTGAATCCCACCTTACAGGCTCTGTACAGGTACTTCGCGTCCTGCGTGAGGTTGTAGAGCGACAGGAAGGCGTAGGCATTCCCTGCAGTGCCGTGGCAGAGCCCATAACCCTTCTTCAGCAAGCCGTACTGCCAGATCACGTCGGCACACTGATAGGCATCGTTGAGATACCGTTCTTCTTTGAACACCTGCAGAGTCAAGGGACAGAGTTTACTACAAGGGATATAAAAGACACTCCTACTGACCTTCCTTCCTGATAGGAGAAAAAAAGGAGATGGGAAAAGGGAGGAGGAGAAAGGGAGGTGGCTTAGTAAGAAAGGGTAAAGAATTCAGAGACACAGAGATATGTTATACTGGGGGGGAAAATTACAATAATTCACTAGCATTTCTTTTGCTTTTAAATACATAACTGGACATGACCTCGTCTGTATGATTTGAGTTGTATATGCATGTGTATTTGTGTCGTTGCTGTTTTTCAGTTGCTAAGTCTTTTCGGCCTCTCTGTGACCCCATGGACTGCAGCCCACCAGGCTCCTCTGTCTATGGGATTTCCCACATAAGGATGCTGGAGTGGGTTGCCATTTCCTTTTCCAGGGGATCTTCCTGACCCAGGGATCAAACCCACGTCTCCTGCATTGGCTGGTGGATTCTTTATCATGGAGCCATGGTGTTTGTATACCTGAATGTTTCTGGTGAAGTAGCCTTATTTACTTGCAACTTGCTATTATCCTTAGTCACTTTGCAAAGGATAAACACTATCTTCTCTGTAACAATAATGCTCTCCACTATTAGAAAGTTTCTTTATACCCTGGAGAAGAAACTGTTTATAAAATTGATTATAAAACACTATACTTTGTCAGAAAAATAGAGATATGTCTTTACAATCTTTTGTGACCTCCTCTTTATTAAAAATGTGAAAAATATGTGTGTGTGTGTATGTATTTTTTTCCCATGCCATGTAGCTTGTGGGATCTAGTTCCCCAACCAGGGACTGAACCCATATCCTCTGCAGTAGAAGGACACAGTCCCAACCACTGGACTGCCAGGGAATTCCTGAGAAATATTTTCTGAGTAGATATTTTTAATATCTCAATACAGTATAAAAGTAGAGCAAGACAGTTTTAAAAGTTTTTGTATTATATTTGACTTTCTGAAGGCAAAATCTGATATACTAAGAGCTTATTCAGACCATAAGATACCAGAGACTATTCAGTCTATAAAATTGTAATTTGTAGAACACGTACCAATGAACATCGATATCTTGGTTTACTTCCATTTTTTTTCCTCTCAATTAAAAATCTCTGCTTCTTTGATTATGGCTCTGTAGTAACATGCTTTCTAGAAGTGATACTTGCATTTTAAAAATTATGGTAAAATATATGTATCAAAGTTACCATTTTAATCATTTAAAGTGGACAATTCAATGGCATTAATTACATCCCCTGTGTTGTTTCAAGAAGGTGAAGGAATAGGACGGGGAGACCACGTTCTACCCTCCAAATTCATCAAAAGACCATTTGAATGCTGAGCAACTTCCACAAAACAACTTCTGAACACTGGCGGAGGACACCAGGCACCCAGACAGGCAGCCCATTCTCTTCAAAAGGAGGTAGGACAAAATATAAAAGACAAAAAGAGAGATGAAAGAGTTAGGGACAGAGACCTGTCCTGGGGAAGGAGTCGTGAAGGAGAAGTTTCCATACAGTAGGAAATCCTCTCACAGGCAGACGGGTCTGTGGGGAGTTTTGGAATCTCAGAAAGCAACATAACCGGGAGAAAAAAAAAAACACCACAGAATACATGCCTAACTGCAACTGTAGAACTGTAGAACTGTAGAACTTTCCCGTGAAAGGCTCTAACCTAACACCTAATGCACAGTCTGGCCTGCTCACAGAACAAAGGAGTGAGGGAATACCAAAGGAGAGCTAGCCCCCTGCACACGGCCCCTCCCTGCCCAGAGGCAGGCTTGAGCCAGAAGGCAAGGGGCTGCTGCAATCTCAGCCACAGAGATGGCAGCCTCCACCAAACTGTGAGCAGGCTCCCAGCTGCTAAACAAATCTTCCTGAGATTCTGGATGGCTGACACCTGCCAGGAGGGTCGCAGCCTGAGATCAGGTCTCCAGAGGAGACACGCGGCACATCTGAGATGGTGCCCTCGTGGCACACCCAGGAAACCAAGTAGCCGGGACTGGGGAGGTGACTGAGATGCACAGCCCACCCGGGACAGTGGCTCGCCAAACACCTGGTCGTCTGAGCTGCCCACATCTGGGAAGGGCGCAAAACGCACGCCCAACCCACAGAGACTGAGCCAGAACTGTGTGTGAGTGTCTCCTGAGGAGGTGCGGGTCAGCATGGCCTGCTGCAGGGGCAGGGGCTCTGGGTGCAGCAGACCTGGGTATGGCATAAGCCCTCCTGGAGGAGTTCGCCATTAACCCACCAAAGAGCTGCCAGAACTTACACAGGACTGGGGAAAGAGACTCTTGGAGGGTACAAATAAAATCTTGTGTGCACCAGGACCCAGGAGAAAGTACCAGTGACCCCACAAGAAACTGACCCAGACTTGCCCATGAGTGTCCAGGAGTCTCCGGCAGAGGCGTGGGTTGGCGGTGGCCTGCGGCAGGGTTGGGGGCGCTGAGTGCAGCAGTGCCCGCATGGACCTTTTGAAGGAGGTCGCCATTATCTCTGTTACCTCCACCATAGTTTGGCCTCAGGTCAAACAACAGGGAGGGAACACAGCCCAGCCCACCAACAGAAAACTGGATTAAAGATTTACTGAACAAGGCCCCATCCATCAGAACAAGACCCAGTTTCCCCCACAGTCTCTCCCATCAGGAAGCTTTCATAAGCCTCTTATCCTTATCCATCAGAGGGCAGACAGAATGAAAACCACAATCACAGAAAACTAACCAATCTGATCATACGGACCACAGCCTTGTCTAGCTCAATGAAACTATGAGCCATGCCGTGTAGGGCCACCCAAGACTGATGGGTCATGGTGGAGAGTTCTGACAAAACATGGTCCACTGGAAAAGGGAATGGCAAACCACTTCAGTATTCTTGCCTTGAGAACCCCATGAATAGTATGAAAAAGGAAAAAGATAGGACACTGAAAGATGAACTCCCCAGGCTGGTAGATGCCTGTTATGCTACTGGAGAAGAATGGAGAAATAACTCCAGAAAGAATGAAGAGATGGAGCCAAAACAAAAACAACACCCAGTTGTGGATGTGAAGGGTGATGGAAGTAAAATCCGACACTGTAAAGAGCAATACTGCATAGGAACCTTGAATGTTAGGTCTATGAATCAAGGCAAATTGGAAGTGGTCAAACAGGAGATGGCAAGAGTGAACATCGACATTTTAGGAATCAATGAACTAAAATTAACAGGAATGGGTGATTTAACTCAGATGACCATTATATCTATAATTGTGGGCAAGAATCCCTTAGAAGAAATAGAGTAGCCATCACAGTCAACAAAGAGTCCAGAATGAAGTACTTGGATGCGATCTCAAAAACGAGAGAATGATCTCTGGGTTTCCAAGGCAAACCACTCAATGTAAGAGTAATCCAAGTCTGTGCCCTGCCAGGAACGCTGAAGAAGCTGAAGCTGAACGGTTCTATGAGGACCTACAAGACCTCCTAGAACTAACACCAAAAAAAGATGTCCTCTTCATTTTGGGGTCTGGATTGCAAAAGCTGGAAGTCAACAGCTATCTGGAGTAACAGGCAAATTTGGCTGTGGAATACAAAGCAGCAGGTCAAAGGCTAACAGAGTTTTGCTAAGGGAATGCATTGGCCACACCAAACACCCTCTTCCAACAACACAAGAGAAGACTCTACACATGGACATCACCAGATGGTCAACACTGAAATCACATTGATTATATTCTTTGCTGCCAAAGATGGAAAAGCTCTATATAGTTAGCAAAAACAAGACTGGAAGCTGACTGTGGCTCAGATCAAGAACTCCTATTTTCCAAAATCAGACTGAAATTGAAGAAAGTAGGGAAAACCACTAGACCATTCAGGTATGACCTAAATCAAATCCCTTATGATTATAAAGTGGAAGTGAGAAATAAATTCAAGGGATTAGAACTGATAGACAGAGTGCCTGGTGAACTATGGACAGAGGTTCGTGACACTGTACAGGAGACAGAGATCAACAATATCCCCAGAAAAAGAAATGCAAAAAGGCAAAATGGCTGTCTGAGGAGGCCTTACAAATAGCTAGGAAAAGAAGAGAAGCTAAAGGCAAAGGAGAAAAGGAAAGATATACCCATTTGAATGCAGAGTTCCAAAGAACAGCAAGGAGAGATAAGAAAGCCTTCCTCAATGATCAATACAAAGAAATAGAGGAAAACAATAGAATGGAAAAGACTAGAGATCTCTTCAAGAAAATCAGAGATACCAAGGGAACATTTCATGCAAAGTTGAATACAATAAAGGACAGAAATGGTATGGACCTAACAGAAGCAGAAGATATTAAGAATACACAGAAAAACTATACAAAAAAGATCTTTGTGACCCAGAAACCATGATGGTGCGATCATTCACCTAGAGCCAGACATCCTGGAATGTGAAGTCAAGTGGGCCTTATGAAGCATCACTATGAACAAAGCTAGTGGAGGTGATGGAATTCCAGTTGAGCTATTTCAAATCCTGAAAGATGACATTGTGAAAGTGCTGCACTCAATATGCCAGCAAATTTGGAAAGCTCAGCAGTGGCCACAGGACTGGAAAAGGTCACTTTTCATTCCAATCCCAAAGAACGGCAATGCCAAGAATGCTCAAAACTATCGCACAATTGCACTCATCTCACACGCTAGCAAAGTGATGCTCAAAATTCTCCAAGCCAGGCTTCAGCAATACGTGAACCGTGAACTTCCAGATGTTCAACCTGGTTTTAGAAAAGGCAGAGGAACCAGAGATCAAATTGCCAACATCCCTTGGATTATCAAAAAAGCAAGAGAGTTCCAGAAAAACATCTGTTTCTGTTTTATTGACTATGCCAAAGCCTTTGACTGTGTGGATCACAATAAACTGTGGAAAATTCCGAAAGAGATGGGAATACCAGACCACCTGACCTGCCAAGAGAAATCTGTATGTAGGTCAGGAAGCAACAGTTAGAACTGGACATGGAACAACAGACTGGTTCCAAACAGGAAAAGGAGTATGTCAAGGCTGTACACTGTCACCCTGCTTATTTAACTTATATGCAGAGTACATCATGAGAAACGCTGGGCTGGAGGAAGCACAAGCTGGAATCAAGATTGCCGGAAGAAATATGAATAACCTCAGATATGCAGATGACACCACCCTTATGGCAGAAAGTGAAGAAGAACTAAAGAGCCTCTTGATGAAAGTGAAAGAGGAGAGTGAAAACGTTGGCTTAAAGCTCAACATTTAGAAAACTAAGATCATGGCATCTGGTCCCATTACTTCATGGCAAATAGATGGGGTAGCAATGGAAACACTGAGAGACTTTATTTTTCTGGGCTCCAAAATCACTGCAGATGGTGATTGCAGCCATGAAATTAAAAGCGGCTTGCCTCTTGGAAGAAAAGCTATGACCAACCTAGACAGCATATTAGAAAGCAGAGACACTGCTTTACCAACAAAGGTCCATCTAGTCAAAGCTATGGTTTTTCTAGTAGTCATGTATGGATGTGAGAGTTGGACTATAAGGAAAGCTGAGCGCCGAAGAATTGATGCTTTTGAACTGTGGTGTTGGAGAAGACTCTTAAGAGTCCCTTGGACTGCAAGGAGATCCAAGCAGTCCATCCTAAAGGAAATCAGTTCTGGGTGTTCATTGGAAGGACTGATGTTGAAGCTGAAACTCCAATACTTTGGCTACCTGATGCCAAGAGCTGACTCACTGAAAAGACCCTGATGCTGGGAAAGAATGAAGGCAGGAGGAAAAGGGGATGACAGAGGATGAGATGGTTGGATGGCATCATTGACACGATGGACGTGAGTTTGAGTAGGCTCCAGGAGTTGGCGATGGACAAGGAAGGCTGGTGTGCTGCAATCCACAGGTTTGCAAAGAGTCGGACATGACTAACCGACTGAACTGAACTGAACTGATGTTGTATTAATACAGCCATCACTCTTATCTATTTCCAAAACCTTTTCAACATCCCAAACAGAAACTCTGTACCCATGAAGTAATCACCCTCACCCTCCGAGCCCTTGGTAACTTTTACGCTACTCTCTCACTATGAATATGCCTATTTTATATATCTCACATTAACCATCACAGCATGTAAGTGGAGCCATACTGGGTCTGCCCTTTTGTTCCTGGCTTGTTTCACTTGGCATCATGTTTTCAAGGCTCATGCATGTTGTAGTATGGATCAGAAGTTAATTCTTTTTTAGGGATAAATCATATTCTTCTGCATGTAGACACCATATTTTGTCCATTATCTGCTGATGGACACTTGGATTGTTTCCACTTTTTGGCTACTGTGAACAATGCTGCTAGGGAACACTGGTGTACATATATCTGTTTGAAACCTCATTTTCAGTGCTTTTGGGCATATACCAAGGAGTGGAATTGCTGGAGCATATGTTTAATCCTGTGTTTAATTTTTTGATGAACTGCCAAACTGCTTTCTATAGTAGTTGTACCATTTTATATTGCCACCAGCAATGTCCAGGGAGAATCCTTTCTAGTTTTAATTGAGCTCCTAGGATATTTATCTTGTCTTTGCCACTAATACTATAGATCTTGGCTACTCTACCCATCAGTGAAGTGGTTCCTTGTTCTGTGAAATAATGTCTGCTATGGTATAAGTGGATACTGTGAGAATGAATTATAATTCACATAGCCGAGTGAGTTTAGGTCCAACAAATGGTTTGTCTATGTATCCTTGAAGAATTATACAGAAAACTAGTTAAGGTGATAGAATTTTATATTCTGTTTGCTAACTTATTTCTAAAAACAAGAAAATTCATATTACCTTATAGGCCTGAATGAGCATGTAGATTACTCCGGGAGCACCATGGCACCAGTGAACTAGCAGATCACGACTGTCGTCCACACAAGGAGGGTAGTTGCCTGAAGGGAATTTCAATTGGCAGACATAGTCTACACTGGGCTTGACCAAATTATGTAGCTTCGCATGGCTGACTTGTAGGCTGGGCTAAAAGCAAGAATGGGAATTATTAGTTTTGCTGAAACAAACAGTCCTTCTTAACGCTCAAAGTGAAAGTGTTAGTCATTCAGTCCTGTCAGACACTTGCTCAGGGATGGGTTTAAAAAGAGAGGAAAAAATGACCAAAATGAATTGGAAGTCATTAAATGGTTTTGGGTTTCAGACAATTTTTTCACCTACTGGCACAGACCAAAATTAGGCTATCAGTTTACATCTATAACCTTATATACATATTATTTTCAATATTTATTTTTATCTAGATACATATAAAAATTTCCAAAGCCAATGCTTAAGAATGTGAGCTAACAGAAGCTTCCTAAGGTCTTAGTACCTTAGCACACTTTTAAGGACCACAAAGAGATGCATTAGACAAATCAGGTACAACTTTCATCTAAAGCAGTAGAGGTGGTAGTTTAGTCGCTAGATTGTGTTTGACTCTTTGAGACCCTATGGACTGTAGCCCATCAGACCCCTCTGTCCATGGGATTTCCCAGGCAAGAATACTGGAGTGGGTTGTCATTTCCTCCTCCAGGGGATCTTCCCGACGCAGGTATCGAACCTGAGTCTCCTGCATTATGGGCGAATTCTTCACTGAGCCACCAGTGAAGCCCATTTAGAGTACTGGTGGGTGATATTTCCAACAGAAGAAGATGCTAACAAGTTGGGAGACCTAGGATCTAAATCCCTAATTGGTGTGACTCTAGATTAAATCTTTCTGCAAAAGATTTGGAACTGATACTTATGAAGGCTTATTTAGATACAATAATGAACAGAATTACAGGATTTGGTGCCATATGAGCCTCTACTTTTGATAGAATTTTTAGTTTTGGTCCTGGTCCTAATTCAGCGTACTGCATACTTCTTTTAAACAACAAATTCGGTGTTGTCTTTGCCAGGCAGGGGCTGGGCATTTGGGGTGGGAGGGAGGCAGTATTGTGAAGTCAGGCAGGAGGCAGTTCTGGCAGGGAACGAGATGATACCGACCATAAGGCTTTCATGGACACTGAACATGCACGAAGTTCTGTAGACACACTCAGATTCCACTTGATGCACAGAATATTGTTCAAGCTCAGTTTAAAATGCGAGAGCTGAATGACTGGATTCTCCTCAAACTTTCAGAAGTTCTCAAAATGGCCTAAAAACTACATTTTATGTTGATACTTATGCACCTATCAGGATGGACTTTGAGGATTAAAAATTAAATCATTTCAAACAGATAATAATGTGCAAATGGAAAATGCAATACTTGGGTTTCCAGATTTCTTATTATAACCAAACACACGGAAGCAGAGGGTAAGACACCTCCTGATGATCTGCTTCGAAGAAAGGTCATGAGGCCATCCAGTCACTGACACGTATGACTAACTCACCTTGGCACGTCAAGGTTGTTCTTCTTTCCTGAAAACTTTCAAGAATCTGTATTTACTTCTGGAAATAGAGAGTCAGTGAGGGAAGTGTGCCAGAAAAATAAAAGAATTTAAGCTTAAAGTGTCAAAACCCCTAATTATAAAACTCTTGACTTGAGAAGTGGAGAATAAACGTCACCGTTGGTGTCTTACTGCCAGTAACACTCCAAGTATGGTTATGCATTCAAAAGCAATAATAAGGTTTTATTTTTCGGCTCTGCTGTTCTTGTTTAGTTACAGGGAAATGACACGTGTGAGGTTGATTTGGCATTATTACAGCTGCTCAACCAGTTATGGGCATTTATATCCAAGCTCTCTTGTTGAACGTATTAATGAAACATTTTCTGTTATGCTACACTGTAGTTTGGGAAATTGAGGGGGGGCACCTTTACCATCATTAAAAACCAGTATTCTTTTGCCATGAATTCTTATTCTTAAGCACAAGTGCCAATTTCTCCTTCAGCAGAGTTAGACAAGCCCCTGGAAATGATGCTCTCATGAGGAGCCCTCTTCTGACCCCCCCCCCCTTCCAGGTTATGCTTGCTGTAATACTCTATTTGCCCTCGGTCTATCTGGCTTTGGCTGATGTCCCCAACAGTATTAGTACCAAAGAACTGCTGAACATGGCATGTACTGTGCTTAGTCGTTCAGTCATGTCCAACTCTTTGCAACCCCTTGGACTAGAGCCTGCCAGGCTCCTCTGTCCATGGGGATTCTCCAGGCAGGAATACTGGAATGGGCTGCCATGCCCTCCTCCAGGGGATCTTCCCAAACCAGGGATCCAACCCAAGTCTTCCACATTGCAGGCAGATTCTTTACCATCTAAGCCACCAGGGAAGCCCAAGAATACTGGAGTGGGTAGCCTATCCCTTTTCCAGGGGATCTTCCCAGCCCAGGAATCAAACCGGGGTCTCCCACATTGCAGGCAGATTCTTTACCAGTTGAGCTATCAGGGAAACCCTGGAACATGGCATATTCAGCTATTTTTCAGGTAAATTACACAAAATCCATTGAAAAGGCTCCTTAGTTTTGCTCTCTAACTGCGCTTTAGGCAGCAGATCCTTCCTTGTTTTCTACTGATTTTGTTCTTACTCCTGGAACTTCTTTCAGTGGGTTGTGCCTTATAATGAGGAGCAGAATTAATTCAAGGCATTTGCTCAAACAGCAGAGCAGAGCAGAGGGCACTTCATAAAGAAGAATAGGTCAAAACACTTACTGTGCACAAGTGGCATGAAGTGGGCAAGTGCAGTCACCTACAAATCAAACAGCATCTCAAAGCACAGTGCCTGTTACATTCATACACTTCAAATACACTTTGGCAAGCACTTTTGGTGTTTAGTCATTGCCCTGTGTCTGATTCTTTGCAGCCCCATGGACTGTTGCCTGCCAGGCTCCTTTGTCCATGGGATTTCCCAGGCAAGCAACCGTGGGTTGTGATTTCCTTCTCCAGGGGATCCTCCTGACCCAGGGATCAGACCTGTATCTCCTGCACTGGCAGGCAGGTTCTTTAACATTGAGGCATCCGGGAAGCCCTTGGCAGGCACTACTCTTGTTTATCTAGGCCAGGTGATTACCAGGAGAGTGAGGCAGCTGTTGACCATGAAAAACTGAGCCGGAGCACTTGTTTTCTCACCCTAGACAGTACCATAGGAACCACATTCTAGTTCCATCATCACCACCTCTTACCTGCATCAGGTAGTAATAAATTCCTGCCAGGCCATGAGCAGCCCCCACATAATATTCTTGGTACCATTCATACATCAGTGGAGTCTTTCCTGTGAACCTTCTCTTCCTAGCTAGGTCTTCTCCAGAAGTTAAGACTGTTTCACAAATCTACAGAGACAAACCCAACCAGAATAAGGAAAGCATTAGAATGGAGACAAGGGATTTTTGCTAACAGGTACTGGGGAACACGGCAAGTTAGACATCATCTTGTGGCCATGAATGGGCCCAGCTTGACTCTGTACTCAGAGAAGCACATGGGATCATTCTGTCTCAAAGAGGGAGAGTCTGGAAGATTTTGAACTCTTTTTTACTACAGCTCATAAGAATTCACGTGTCAAAGGAAAGCAAGACTCCCTCAGGTACAGAAGGAACACTTGCACCTCAGAGGTCAGCTCTGGCCCCGTCTTCCTCTGAATGGCCCCTGAAGTCTCAGATGGGGCAGCTGGACTCCCTACTGATTCACCCCCTTCAGTTTCCCACAGCACCCCGAGTGAGGCTGGCGCTGCTGGGATCATGCCTGACCTTCAGAGGTCAAGGTGCATCTTCCCAGCCAGCTACCTGGGATGTGCTGACGAGGGAAACAAAACCAACAGTTTAGGCAGACAGGGAGTGGGATCCTAAAAAGACGCCGGGAACACAAAAACGTTGTACCTGCTGAATATGGCTCTGAGGAATCTTTTCCTCTCCAAAGTTCTTATTCACAAACAGAAGAGCACTGATGTAGCCCATTCTTCCATAGAGCATTTCACTTGGAGCATGGGGATCAATCTTGTTTAAGTGAATCAGTCTGGGAATAAAAATACATGCCTAAGATAATGTGAAAGGGATTGGGTCGAGATAGTTACTTAAAGATGGTACAATTAAAACATACACACACAAATATATATAGAGAGTTATACATATACACATATGTGGGGTTATTTATATTAAATATATCAAATATAATATTTAAATATATTTACATATAACTTATATTAGTATACTCTAAATATTAAGTAGGCCGGGCCAGACCATAAATGGGTAATCAGGGGTCAGTGATTAACCATCAACTACATTTCTTTTCTTCAGTTCACAAGGGAATGGACAAAGAAGAAATTTAAAGAATGCAGGAACACAGGATTCTGGCTGGGACCACCTACAGTTTCCCCGAGCCCCTCATGGCAGTACACCCGGAGGCCAGCAGTTGGCGTTCGAGAAGCCAAGAACTACTGGCTATTGTAACATTCAGTCTGAGGAACTGTTTCCATAACATGAAATGCCTGCGGCAGCCCAGTTATCACCTTTCCTGGTTTACCTCTGAAGCGTGTCATCTGGCCTGGCTGAAGTGTTTGTTCAGCAGCCTGATCCACCACCGTCAGTTACACATACAAACAGCACAAAGGGATCAGTCAGGCTCCCTGCTTCCTCGGTCTCCCGGCATCTAGTCCTTCCTTTCAGAAACAGCCCTGGTTACCAATTTCTTGTGTATTCCGAGAATTATTTTATGCACAGGTAAGAATACATAAACTTATTTATAAACATGTTTCCACAAATGTTTTGTGACTCAGCTACTTAACAATTCATCTTGACAATCATTCCTGATCAGCACACACAGGGTAATCTCTGTCTTTATCACAGATGCATAGTATTCCACCGAATGATTATAATTTATTCGTTCCCTATTGATAGACTCAGTTCAGCTTCCCTCCCCCAAAAATTATTTTTGGTTCTGGTCGCAGGTGAGATGGAGTAAGCATAAGCCATCCTGCCTCTCACAGCACATGTAGATCCAGAACCTACAGAGAACGTGTGAAGCTATTTGAAAACCCTGAAAAGTAAACAATAGCCAGCAGAATGGGGATGACCAGAATTTGAAGTACTACTGCCAAACCAGTGGTGAGTTTACCACATTTTCCCCTCTGGTATTTCCCTGGCCTGAACTCAGGGCTGCCTGAAGCCTGGAAGTGGGCATCAGTGGGCTGGAAGAGTCCTGGAAGAAGCCCTTCAGTTCTGTCTCAGAAAAGAAGAGGAAAGGGAACTCTTAATAGCAGAGAGTGGTAAAACACTTCATTTTTCTGTTCACTCCCCAGGCCACCAGGAATTGCATGCTGGCAGAAGTGAAGGCAACGGGAGCCCACAGGGGCCAGAACTCTGAGAGAGGGACCTGCCCACGCATACTGGAGAGGCTGGAGCCCCAGCAGTGTTGAGGGGGCGGGAGGCCCTTCGCCTCACTTCTCTTCCCAGCCTCCCCATCACTTGACCCCCCAGATGCAGGCCCAATCATGGGAAGTGTGTGGCTGAGTAGGATAACCGAAGCCTCACTTTTTTCCGGAGAATCAAAAGAGGAAGCCCCAGAGAACCAGAAAGTAGGTGGAGTTCACAGAGGGATACGAGCTCAGAGAAGCAACTATACTTGTAGTCTGAACTCTGAGAATGAACTTTTTTTGTCTTTTTCTCTTTTGGTGGGGGGCAGGAAATATGATAGCTAGAAAACTGTCGTTGCTATTTTACATTTTTCATCACATGAAATTTTGAAAGCACATTTCAATGATCCCTAAATTATCCTACAAATTCAATGTGAGACCATTTTAATTATTAAAATGATTTAGGCTTTGATGAAGCTTGACAAAATGATTTTAGTATACTAAAAAAGCATGAGGGAGAGAGTCAGGGGACTTCTGGAAAAGAGGAGTAATGAGAGGACATTAGTCTTACCAAAAAAAAAAAAAAAAAAAAGATCTTGTCATCAGGTAGCTTATGATACTAAACATGCTATTTAATCTCTATACTTAAAATTTCTCATCTATAAGATGAATGATGCCTTCCAATTTAAACATTTATTTTTAAAGTAGTGAAGTATAAATAATGCCTGCATATTATCTAACTTTAGTCTACATACTAAAAACGTTTAATAAGCATTTGAAGTAACAAAAAAATCATACCCCTGGAGTGATTGGTTATATCTGAAGTATTCTATAAAGGAAGCTGAGTGCCAAAAAATTTGATGCATTTGAACTGTGGTGTGGGAGAAGACTTGAGAGTCCCTTGGACTGCAAGGAGATCAAACCAGTCCATCCTAAAGGAAATCAGTCCTGAATATTCATTGGAAGGACAGATGCTGAAGCTGAAGCTCCAATATTTTGGACACCTGATGCAAAGAGCTGACTCACTGGAAAAGACCCTGATGCTGGGAAAGACTGAAGGCAGGAGAAGGGGATGACAGAGGATGAGATGGTTGGATGGCATCACTGACTCGATGGATATGAGTTTGAGTGAGCTCTGGGAGTTGGTGATGGACAGGGAAGCCTGGAGTGCCGCAGTCCATGGGCTCACAAAGAGTCAGACATGAGTGAGTGAGTGAACTGAACTGAAGTATTCTAGTAAAGAATCAACATTCAGAGATACCTGGCACTTCAAATAACTTTATCAAAATTTATACTAGAGGATTTGATAACATGGGGAGTAAAGAATGTTAGGAAATATTGGTGGAGTGGTGGAGATGGGTGGGATGTTTGGGAAATGGTACAGGCTCTAGCCACCATTTGATGAGTAAGATCCAAGAAGAATCAGGGAGGATGTGGCTTTATCTGAGCCACAAGAACAGGGTAGAGGATGTGTGTCTTCTTCCTAATAAATGGAGAGTCTGCTTAACTGCTTGTGCCTTCATTTACTCAGTGGTAAAATGAAGGTTACAGCTGAGAGGGTGCACAGCCCCCTACCTCTAATTTCTGGAGACTACCAACATCAACAAACAACAAAAACAAACAGGAAAACAAGAACCTAACAACCACTACCACCATCAATAGATAGAGAGTCCTAGCTCTGAAGGGAAGGTACTTGTGAAAAAGAAAACAACCCTCCTCTCCCGAACCCTCCCCAAGCACTTCCACAAGCCTGTGGTGGGAGGGGAACTCTTAGGATTAAAAATGAAGAAGACACACTTCAATAAGCAGAATGAATTGATTTTTTGTTGTTGTTTACAGCAGCTTTACTCATAATTACCAAAACTCAGAATCAACCAAGTTGTCCATCAGTAGGCGATGTGGATAAGCGAATTGTGGCACATCCAGAGGAATGAGATGATTTTAGTGAGTAAAAAGGGCTGAAACAATAACTGAGAAAAAGTTAGGAAAGCATCCTTAAGGGAACCTACTCCCCAACAGGAAAGAGAGATTTCAAAGAGCTTGGCTGGTTGCAGTTACTGACAAAGTTAAATGTTTCCATATTTACACCTGAACAAATGGAGTCACCTCAATCAAACTGGTTAAACATGCAAATGCTGGCTTATGCATTTCTTTTCTATTACAAACACAGGCATTAAACTCTCAGTGAAACAGTGGTTATTAGTAATAGGGACACAGTGGTCAGAGGTTGCTTTCAATTTTCTTGTAATACCTTGCTTGATTTTTTCCCCCTCCAATGCCAAGAGGGTTATCTGTTATCTGGTCTATAACCACAGGGTGGTTTTTTCCTACTTTAATACCCTCCCTCATCCCCACAAATCTCTAATAATTTTCAAAAATTTTAAAACATTTATTAAGAAAAATTCTATTTTTTTCCTCACACCAGAACTGGAAGCTCAGTAATGTTGAGAATTTAATAAAATCTGTTAACTAGATACAAACTCAACTGTTGTCATAAGCAGAATAAACATCCTAGAGTTTTCATAAGAATTTATTATAAAGTATTAATATAAATGCATCAAACTCTATAGAATTTAGCGATAGAAAAGCACTTCTCATTTTTGTAAAGGGTATTATTGAAAGACCTATTCAAAGAACGAAATGATTAGCAGTTTTTAAAATAAACACTGCTCTATGGAAGTTACTAAAAACAATTACTACATGTTGCATTAACTCCAACGATGTTCTCATCTCAATAAAATGTGTTTGAACCAGTGAATTAGAAAATACCATTCTTTTACTTGCCGTTGTCATGACCTGCATCACCACTAGTATGTGCTGCGTCTCTCAGTCGTGTCCGACTCTTTGTGACCCCCATGGACTGTAGCCCACCGGGCCCCTCTGTCCATGGGGATTCTCCAGGCAAGAATACTGGAGTGGCTTGCCATGCCCTTCTCCAGGGGACCTTTGCAACCCAGGGATCCAACCCAGGTCTCCCACTTTGCCAGCAGATTCTTTACCGTTTGAGCCACCAGGAAAGCCCAGTGGCTTCCACAAGGAACCAGCAGGTGGTGATATATAATCAGCATACCAATTATTTTGCAACCAAACATTTGGTTGTTCAAAGTAGATGGCAAGTACTTATTTTCAAATACTTGAAAATAAAGTATTAGTCAGTGCATCTCATTATAATGAGTACTTAAGAAGGCAGTACCTTATTTTTTTATGGATTTGAATTCAATTCATTAAAACTCATTAGTTGCATGTATCTAACAGTGTTCTAGAGCACTATTTACAATAGCCAAGACATGGAAGCCACCTCAGAGTCTGGGCATAGATGAATGGATAAAGAAGATGTAGGACATATATACAATGGAATATTACTCAGCCATGAAAAGAATGAAATAATGCCATCTGCAGCAACATGGGCGGACCCAGAGATTACCACACTAAATGAAGTAAGCTAGGCAGAGAAAGACAAATATCATATGATAGCCCTTATATGTGCAATCTAAAAAAACAACATAAATGAATTTATTTACAAAACAGGAAGAGTCTCACAAACACAGTTAACAAATATATGGTTACTAAAGGGGAAAGGGTCAGGGGAGGAATTAATTAGGAGTATGGGGTTAAAATATAAACACTATGATAGATAAAATAGACAATCAACAAGGATATGCTA